TCCGTGCTCCTGGGAAAGAACACTGTGATGGTGTGCGCCCTTGGGATGTCGTCTCCCAGGCACACCATCAGCTCTGAACCTTCCCAGGTGCTCAAACTGGGGGCCTTTGCCCTCATCCAGTCCGCCGTTTCTTGGTTGACGCAGTCTACCACGAGCATACTGGGGCGGAAGTGAATTCCCCCGAATTGGAGTTTGCATTCCGCGCCCAGTATCATCTCCTGCACGATTGCGTCCTCCAGTGCTGTTAGCGGTTTTTAACAAAAAAATTATGTTCTCCGACCTCTAAAACCCCCCACTTACCAATTTTGAATGGAATCGAACCAAATCTTGGTCGCCATTTTTTTCAATTTCAACAAAAATTCCATAATGTATTGTCACCGAAATTAGGAACACTTACCAAATTTCAAGTTAATCGGAGTTATGGAATTTTTGTTGAAATTAAAAAAAAATGGCTGCTCCAAGATGGCGGACAAGATTTGGTCCGATTTCATTCAAAATTGGTAAGTGGGGGTTTTCGAGGTCGGAGATCATGATTTTTTTGTTAAAATTTATAAATTCAAGATGGCGGCTTCTAAATAATTTTTTGTTTTTGTATAAATGACGATAACTCCGTTGTAATCAACACAAAACTATTACTGCGACATATCATCTGTAAGAAAAAAAAAGTTATTTGTAACTAAGTCATAGTGAGCTATGACCTACATTTGGAAAACTAAAGTTGGTGCTGATATCTCGAATTCTAGAAGAGTTGGTATAAATTTCATATTTTTTTCGAAATCACTTTGAAAAACTGCCATGAGAATGTGAAATTCCCATTTGAATATTTTCATAAATAAAGAAGTTACGGAGAAGACATGAAAATGAACAAAATCTGTTTTTTGCGTATAAAACAAAAACGGAATAGATTTTATCAAAATAATTTTTCACATTATAGTTGGCCTTGACAAACTCCACATTTGGTGTCATTTAACCGACCTCGTATCTCTCACCGTTAAAAAGATACCCATGGTGAGCATGGTAAGTGGGACACACTGTATAATGTGTCTATGCGTTGATCGAGTCCGTTGAATTTCAGAGCTCATCTCAAACGCACCGTCATGGCCGCCATTTGGGCATGTTCTGCAATACGTCGAATAAATGGTGACGTCAGTTTTTATGCTGTTTCGTTATTGGTCAGATAATCTTCCATTCTCACTCATGAAGCAAGGCTGTCAAGTCACCAATTATAATCAAGTTATCAAAAATATGTTAGAGTCCTGTCGTTGAATAAAACATAATAGGAGAAAGCCATGATAGTGCCCAATCGTATTTCAACATATGGCAACTGTGCTATGGTCTGTCCCTACTTACGAACTCGTGATGTTTATTTGCGGTGAATATCTAGCCGTTTGATACCTTGATACCGACCGAAAAATTCTAAAAAAACATGATATTGAAAGGTATTTGAGTAATGATTATATTCAAAAAAAAAAATTGGTCAACTTGTCTAATCCGGATAAGAATATGACATCTTCAGGAGTTGTTACGCCTACTTCATTTTTTTAGTCAATTTTAATATTGCATCTAGGTGACCGTGATCGGTCGTAAACTTATCTAAGAACCTCAGGTGATGTCAGAAAATTATAATCACAAAGTTTTAGTGACTAGTATGATAGATAGGAAGAAGACAAGTTGACAAAATTACATTTCCGTTTCTAACAATTATTTTTCGAATGGCAACCATTCTTTGAAAGCACTTTCAAAAAATTTTTTTTTGGCGATTCTAGCGATAGCTACGAAATAATTTGCGATTGGATTGAAAATAAGAACATAAATTCAATATCACTAAGGAAAATAGTGGATATTTATTTATTCACATTTGTCAAGTGTGCCATGGATAGCCATGACGCAGAATATTTTGGAGTTATTATTGTTTTTAGTCTTCTTTGGAAAACACTCAGGTAATGACAGTGACATGTGTTAATGTTAGTGTTAATGTTAAAGTAGAGACAAAGCCAAGTTTAGTTGGAATATCAAAATAATATTGTGGATAGGAAAATGTCAATACAATTCTAGCTTGACATAAATATCAAAACTATATCTATCTTATCTGAATATATAGGGTCATACATTATTAGAACAATATGAGAGTAGACCAGTGAACTAACATCAATTTCTAACACTTCCCCTTACTCGAATATCTTTCTATTCTCGAATAGATTCAACATTTAGTGAGTTTCTCACAATCAATTGTCCTTTACTTTGGTTACGAGAAACTTTCATACCAAGGCAACTTGTTACAGCACCTAAATACTTGACATTGAATTTCTTTTTCAAAAGATCAATCAGAATACCCTCCTCCTCTTGCGAATTGGAAAAAATAAAGAAATCGTCAACATACGGGGCAATCACTACCAAAGTTTTATCTAACTTTTTTATGTAGACACATGCCTCACATTTTGATTGCACGTACTCAAAAGTTGTCAATGATTCATGTACTTTGTAATTCCATTGTCTACTGGCCTGTTTCAAACCATATATGCTTTTATTGAGCAAACATACCTGTTTTTGATTACCAAACACAAACCCTTGAGGTTGTTCCATATATATCTCCTCATTCAAGTCACCATGTAGAAATGCAGTTGCAATATCAACATGAACAATATCCATATCAGTTTCATTAGCCAATGCGAACAACATTCTCAAAGTGGAATGCCTTACAACAGGTGAAAAGGTTTCGCTTTAAACTTATCAAATTCACCAGATGCATTTCGTTTGAGCTTATAGATCCATTTACACTTGACCACATTGCGATCAACAACTCCATACTTCATTACTCATTAGAGATTCATACTCACTTCTCATAGCATTCATCTGATTCATCCATTCATTTTTATAATCACCAGATATTGCCTCCGAATAAGTTTGTGGATTGTCATCATATATGAATGTATCAGAAAGAAAAATCAATTCGAAATCTTCAAATTTCTTAGGTATTCGCCCTCGAGTACTTCGCATAGGTCTCTCGGAAAAATCTGCATCTTCGGCACTTGATGTCGTTTCTTCCCTTACAGCTGACATATCTTGAGACATCGAATCTAAAAAGACTTCCTCCTCTGTGGTTACAGCTGAACCATCTTGTATAACCGATAAATCGGGAGACTCTTCTATGACAGCATTGTCGGGTAGATTTTCTGCATGGCTAGTGGAAGGCGTATAAGCAATATCCATATTGTTATTGCTCTCATCTCCATCAGTCTTTCCTTCGGGTTCCTCTTCGATGAAAATCGCATTTCGAAATTTTATAACTTTACCCTGATGTGATGGATCTGCATGCCGATATCCTTTGGATTTTTCGCAGTATCCAACCATGATAATATACTGCTTCGATTTGGGATCCAACTTTCTCCTATGTTCATTTGGAATCAACGAAAAAACCTTCTATCCAAAGACCCGTAGATTACTGAGATCGACTTTGATTCCTGTCCAGATTTGTTCAGGTGTATATCCAGGAATAGCAGCTGATGGACATCTATTCTTCAAATAAATTGAAGTCATAATAGCTTCACCCCAATAACGCTTATTCAGGCCAGAATCTTGAAGCATTGCTCTGGTCTTCTCTATGAGAGTCCTATTCAGCCTTTCAGCCACCCCATTTTGTTGAGGGCAATAAGGAATGGTTGTTTCATGAATTATTCCATGACTTTTCAGATAATTCTCGAAAGCGTTGCTGCAATATTCGCCACCATTATCTGTCCTGAGCTTCTTCATATTCAAGTTGGTTTGATTTTTCACCAGTATTTTAAATTCTCTGAATTTTTACAAAACCTCACATTTGTTTCCGAGAAGGTATCCGAAACTTTTCCGAGAAAAATCATTAGTGTATGTCAGAAGATAACGAGCTCCACCCCATGTTCTTTCAGACATTGGTCCACAAAGATCGGAACGGACTAATTCTAATAGTGACATTGCTCTTTTAGCTTCACCTTTCGGAAATGACTTCATCTTCTGCTTCCCCTCAATGCATGGTACGCAATTTTGGATTTGATTGATATGCTGGATTTTAAAATCGATTCCTGTAGCCAAACCGTCTTTGAGCGCACACATACCACTTTTGCTCAAGTGACCAAGACGTCTATGCCAAGTCTCTGATGAAACAGCAGTCATTGCTAATTCTGGAGAATCTTCAATAATATCTTCAACGGTAGCGCATTTTTCCACAATTTGCAATGCAGATTCAGTTGAGATGGAATCCAACTTGTATATTCCTTCTAGATTCGTAGCTGTGGCAACGGAATTACCAGTTATGAAACAATTTTCATAAATTCGACATTTGTCTTTGTCAAATGCGACAATCAATCCTTTTTCGGTAATCTTACTGACAGACAGTAAGTTTGTAGCAATATCAGGAACACACAAAACATCCATGATTAACCGACTATCATTTGCAGTTAGATTAACTCTAACATCTCCTGAACCAACACTATGTATCGTATCGTTAGATTCGTCAAAAAATCCTTATTTTCGGAAAGTGTTTGTCAAAAAAAGGCTCGCCATTTGAAAAATTATAGGTGGACACGGAAATGTAATTTTACTTGTCAACTCCTATCTATCATACTGTGATAATAATAATAATCTGATATCACCTGAGGTCCTTAGAAAAGTTAACTTCCGATCATGGCCATACCTAGATTCAATATGAAATGTGAAATGAGAATTTCATGTTCTAATTCAGAATAATATTCTCAGAAAATCAAAAATGTTGAAATATACAGGGTTTTTCATTAAAATATTCAAAATCGGAGCTATTTTTGGTGAAGCCGGAAGTGACCGGGAAGTGAAGAATATGCGAAAACTTTCCTCTTCAAATACCATATACCCACTCAAATATCATTTTGATACACCTAATATTCTAGAAGTTATGGCTTGTCTGATAGATTCGTTGACACTCGGTATGTTGCGAATCGTTTTCATCAGGAATCTTCAGATTATCTTTCTCTGATTATGATATTTGGTTTTAGAAGTAGAGGAAGCATTCCTGCCCCAAGGTTACCAAAAGATTGGGATACATTTCCTGAGCTCGAAACCACAACAGAGAGCATTGTTGGGGAGTTGGAAGATGAAAATGATGTCAGATATATCATAGCACAGCCAGACAATGTTTGTGAAACTTTCTATAGCCATTCAACAGAGGCTTCACCGGAACAGAATAGCCAACCGAGTTGTTCGGAATCGGCAGCAAAGAGGCCACAGCCAAAATTGGAAAAAATAGAGGAAGAAACCAAAAATGTGAAGAAATCCAAGATGCAAGATAATAAGGTATTGGGCGAGGCACTTACAGGAGCAATAAGCCAATTTACCGAAATTATTAAGCAAGAAGGAAGGCAATCAAAAGAGCATAGAAATGATCCAGATGACCTGTTCGGAACTATGGTGGTGCAATATTTGAAAGAAATTAAGGATGTTAAGAAAAAAATATTGATTAAGTCAGATATATTGAGGATTTTTGAAAACAGTTTGTGAATGTCTTTATGAATGTGGAAGCAGTTATTGTTAACATAAATTTAAGAACTCTTAACTTGAAGTCACAGGCTACCGAAGTAAATTGACTAACTCAACCAAATATCTGATAGCTTCAAAAATAAGTTCAATAACAATAAAAATTTTAAAAAAGGACCCAACCCATTACCCTGATCAAAAAGTGTACTTGTCAATAATAAATATTTTACCTATAAAAACATATGATTAGGAATTATAAGGAGGGAATTAAAATTAATCAAAACACTTGAGTCACTGATCTTAGACATGTCTGAACTCTAGCATAAGCATATAATGCTGAAGTGGATGTGTGTTGGATAACTGTGGTTGCTTTCACACCGATATGGATCAGTTTAGTTCCGATAAAAATGTTGCAATGTCATATATTTTTTTTCCTATGTGATAAGCCTATCAGATTTCCTACTCATAGGAGCCTTTAGAAAGAATGGGTGCTGCTATGGTAGTTGGTCAGAAATATAGATTTTTCGATATAAAATTGTATTTTCTATGTACATTCCTTTTCCAAAGTCATTCATTGTACAAGACGATGAAGTATTGATGCGCAGAGTTCGTTTAACGTTCGAACGGAGTAGTAGAGTAGTAGTACCTACTAATTTCAAACATTCTATATAAACTAATTAAACTTGAAAGTGAATGTATAAATTGCAAAATCAGAACTTGCCTACCATTGAAATTGAATAGATACTGAAATATCACTCCTAAATGGGAAGGTAACATTAGGACAATTCTAATTTGATGTCATGTGAATGAATAAAAATGCCACAGTCAGCTGATTACCTACCTGCTTATAAATAGGTATTTAGTAATATGCGGACAACCTTTATAGAAGATATTATTTTCAGAAGAGTGTTTGGTCCTGAAACGTTTCTTTTACGAGATACAGGGCGCTCAAGTTCATGAAAAAATATGATTTTCCTTCAATAAATAGGTATTTAGTAATATGTGGAAAACCGTTATAGAAGATATTATTCTTAGAAGAGAGATTGGTCCTGAAACGTTTCGTTTACGAGATACAGGAGGGAGCTCAAGTTCATGAAAAGAATATGATTTTTCTTCAATGAGGGCTAACATTTTTACTCTCACCAGTTAGCGTTACTAGAACGTGAGGTCAATGTCAAAAATCCCTAAATTTTGCCGGCAAAAGCTGTTCATCGTGGGGTATAAATGCTGAGATGCGTTTACGTTGGGTCAGGTTCGCACCAGATAGCGGTCGAGAATGCTATCTGGGACAGCCCTACACTGATGAGAGCCAAGAGCTCGAAACGGGTCTGCAGGTAGTCACGCGTTCCTGAACCACTTAGGCGCAACTTGGCGTTAAGGAAGGAAACACTTGCAATTTTATTCGTCTACGAATTATTGCATAGATTTCGGAAGGATGTAATTCAATGTTCATTTCATGAACTATTGTGGTAATCACCATTGCATTCCATTTAGAGAATTTGGCATGAAATAATAACTGATAAATATATTAGCTATATAAAGACACATTCGAACATGCATTCATCACAAACACAACACATCATGTTCACGGTCATTTAATAACTGACAATGGCGAGCTCGTCCCGTTCACTGACCCTTTGTAAACCTACCGATCCGACCTTCAATGCTTTCCTCCCCTCCATCGTGACAGAAAAATCGATAATCACACGTCCATCTCTGAACGTACAATGGACGTTCATTTAACATCCATACACTTTCAGACTTGAAATGATTTCATATAGATATTTAGTGTAAACAATTCTTTATAAATATACCAATTCATTCTTTAAACGTTGAATGGCCGTTACATGGACATCCGATGGAACTTCAATTTGTGTCATCCAATGTACGTACGTCCATCCTTCTACGTACAACGGATGTTGATCGAACGTCCATGAGAGTTAATAAGTCCTTGAGTCGACGTAAGATTGAAGTCCACCGGGCGTTAATTTATGAACATACATTGTACGTCCATCTGCATGAGTACAATGAATGTACATTCTACGAACATGGATGCTGGGACATCAGATGGACGTCCACTGGACATACAATTTGAAGCATCCAATCATCATCCATGTTTGTATGTACATTGAATGTCCATTCAATATCGATGGACGTTTGTTAATGAAATGGACCTGAAATGGACGTCCAATTGAGCTCTTTTCTACCTTGAACGAGAAAGAGGAAAGTTCTCTCCTCTTCCATTTTTCTCTTCAATGCTTCCAACGTGGCCGCATTGAAATATAGAGAAGTCCGATAAATCTTTCCTTGTCTAACCTGTAGTCTGCGCCACTGAACTATTTTCGATGTTATAATGACGTGATATGTCTATGTCATGAATGTCATTGACTGATGACATTTCAAATTTTCAAAATGAAATTTTGATTTATATCATACTTATTTTGACATAATTTGACACTGCTGAATTGAAAAATAGTTCAGCGGCACATAGTCGATGTTAGACAAGGAAAGATTTATGCGGCCACGTTGGTAGCATTGCAGAGAGAGATGGAAGAGGAGAGAACTTTCCTCTCTCTCGTTCAAGATAGTAATGTGCTGTGTGGGATAGCGATTTATGTTACGGAACTTCAACACATTTGATAGATAGACATACAGAAATATACAAAATTATAGACATTGTTGCAAGTGGACACTTTCAACAGTTTTTGTAATTTTTTCGTTTAATAACTGGACATCCATTAAAATTGTTTTTATTTTTTATCTAATAAACGAAGCAAGATTTAAGAAAAATCCAACAGACGAAAAGGTTGTAGTTTTAGTCGTTCTATCTCAGGGAATCAGCGAAATTAAATTGAAGTCAGTGGCGTACATTTTTGTCAATAAATTTTATTTTAATACCATATGTATCTTGAAAACAATGCATTTCCGGACCTACATTTATGGGAACTTTTTTTCATGAAATGATCTGAGGAAACACCCCCTTGAATATTACCGCGTATTTTTTTAAACACACTGTAGATCATGGGAGCAAAGGTTAATTTTTTCCCATGTGTGTTTAATGTCCTCCGTTACGCATCAAACTTCACACGCGGGAGGAAATGGATACATTCGTTCTCTTGATATATACATAGCTATTTATGGTCATCCTCAATTATCAATTCGGTGATAGTCTGTGATTACGAGCTAGTGGAGCGGGGTGTTTCACAGAAATCCGATAGGATCGAATATTTTTGCCAATTCTGATAGTAAAAATCGCTTAGTACAAGGTCTATCTTGAGGTGAGACTTCATGAAAGAAATAATCTGGTGAAGGTAACCACCGGAGGAAAATCATTACTAGTCCACTTTCTCAATTAGATACCGCTTGTTTCGAGAAATGCAACTAGTTGGGCAGATATAAATTAAGTCTGTTCCAGAGAATCACAACCATTGACAATAGCGTCAACGAAAATATCGGAAGCAAGGATTTGGCATGGAAGAGGAAATCTCGACTTTTCATTTTCAGCAAGCTGTAGAATTTTTCGATTGGCGGAGAATATTGAAGAAGATATACCGAATATCACCGTATTTAAACGATAATCTTGAATGGGTTCATTAGAGGAGAACCTACTTGGAAAACCCGATGCTCTGGAGTCACTAGAATTTGTCGAAACATCTGTTTGACTTCTCTGGTAAAGGCATATAAATAGATGCAGCCTATACCTCAGCAAGATACAAAGAATGTCTTTATGTAGTTTTGGTCCAACATAGAGTGTATGGTTTAGAGAAACATTTTGGTAAGATTTTAGTAGAAGCGTCAAAAACTACTCTCAACTTATAGTTGTTGTACTTGAGGGCTTCAGCACGCAATGATGGGGTAAGTAATAAGTATTCCCGGATAAAGAAATATTAACCACTTCCATATGACCGCAGTTAATATAGTCCTTCATGATTTCATTATACTGTTGACGAATTTCAGGGTTCTTTATGAGACGAGTCTCGAGAGAATAAAATCGTCTGGGAATTTTTTCGAGTACCAGGAAGTACATAATCTGCGTGTCGAAAAGGCAAATTAACTTTATAGAGTCCAGATATATCTGGTATGAGTATCGGTGAAAAATCTCTCCCAGAATTCATCTTCTGGAGAAATATGAGTTTCAGAAGGAACTTTTTATATTCGAAAAAACCCTAAGAGTTGTTATCAACTGATTCAGCAGAGATGCAAAACGAATTGTTACATTGGACCTGTGGATTGAACGCTAGAAATGTTAATTTTCCCCATGACTAGAAAGGCGGAACTCAGTATGCCCGATATTGTAATGCCTGGCTCCACCATCCCCACCAAGCCAACCATATCTATGCTCGGTATTTTCATCAGCAACACTCTTTCATGGGATAATCATGTCAGATCCATCGCAAAAGCTGCTTCACAAAAACTCGGATTCTTGTTCCGTGCGAAAAGCTACTTTACACCTCAACAGCTTCTTATGATCTACAAAGCGCAGATACGGCCTGATCTAGAATACTGTTCCCACATATGGGGTTCAGCACCAAAACATAGGCTGATGCTCTTAGATTCCATACAGAGAAGAGCCATTCGCCTGGTGGGTGACGCCACACTCACTCACTCTTTGACATCATTGGAACACCGTAGAAAGGTCGGCGACTTTTCACTTTTCTATCGATACTTCCACGGGAAATGTTCTTCGGAAATCTCTGCTATCATCCCTTCACTAGCAATACCAATCAGACGAACTAGACAAGCCCAGTCAGCACATCCTTCCGTTGTCAACCTCGAAAGATGTCAAACAGCACTTTATCAAGACTCCTTCATCCATAGAACGGCTAGGCTCTGGAATTCATTGCCTGTGGAAGTATTCCCAACAACATATAATCTCCAAAAGTTCAAAAAAATTCCAATACCTACCTCCTGTCCCTATCCTCCCTAGGAACGCACGATGTTCTTTGAACATTATAGGGATTCCCTTTCGTGCGCTCCAAGCGATAAAAAAAATCAAAAAAGTGTTAAGAGCTATATGGGTTCTTTCGAGCTCCCTGTTATTGGACCATCGCAGTTAAAACGAGTGGAAAAACGTCTGCGCCTGAGAGAACATGTATTGGACCTTGCTTGTGGAAAAGAGGGTCGGCCAGATTCAGATAATTGAGGTGTTTCTAGTTGTATGACGAGATGTTTTGTTCTTGGCATGTCACAACAAATCTGTGGCAAAACAGAGAGATCGACGGATAGAGTAGGGTCCTCGTTTCATGTAGGTTCTTTTGATGGATGAAATCATAACCATGGACTGATAAATAGTGAGTGATAGAATGCAATCACCTTATTTGCACACTTTTGAGTTACGAGACACCTTCCCGGCACTATCATATGAATTGTTCTCATAACTCGAGGATATCCTTTTGAAAGTGCCGTAGGCAACATTACGGTAGGACTAACTGAGGGGGAGGATGAGTGTTCAGATATGGCGAAAGCACCAGGAAGTGTACTAGAGACAAGGGGATCGAAATTTTTATCTCGAGGAGCGACGGCATGAGGAT